TTTTATAAAAGTTTTTTTGAGCAATTATACTGTTCAGTTTTCTGCTCTCACTGAATCATTTATATCACATTTTCATTCTTAACCTTTTAATAATAAATTCACATTCCAGATTTAATAATAGTTAAGTTACCATTCTTGGATATTAACAATTATCTGTAATAGAAACTAACTCAATGTGTAATTCTGTTATACTCAAATTCTGTCAGTTGAAATGTAACCAAAATGTATAGTCCTTCTCAACTTTATTTTGTTATAAAGTAGATGCCATTGTTAAGTCTACTACCATTTGTATTTTTACAGTGCTTGTCATAAGAGTTATTATTGTTCTAGCAACCACATTGTGGCCAGTGAATCCTGACTGCTATCACGCAGATGTTAGTCTTCTTGTTCCAGGTCTTGTATATAGCTTGTAAATATATGGCACATTAAATATATTGTACATTGGTCTTGTAAATATATTGTATATTTCAGAGAAAAAAAAAATGAGAAAAAAAGAAAATCATTATCTATCTTGAAATTCAATTGTGGTTGTTAGGTCAGAATGGAACTTTGTTCCATTAATGCAATAATTGTTTAATTTTGTATGGTTTTCAAGCACATGCCATTGACACATGTTACTAATTTTGTTTAGGCAATACCTTGAGTTGTATTGTTCATATCTGATCAGTAGACATCCACATGTTCTTAATACTCTGGTTTAATCAAAGCATTGTTACCATGATTTTCACCTATTATGATGATTTTTTTTTTTTTGGTGCATATATGCCGAGTTGTTAGTATTACGCACACCTGATCTTCTTTCAATGTTTTATTATGCAAATTTCACATGTAAGCCATTATTGAATGCCACCGAGGTCCTTTCAGTATCATTGTAACTATATAGCTAGCCAGAGCTTGTCGACAAGGGACGTCGACTTGGTAGCGTGTCCGAGCGGTGTTATACTCAAATTCTGTCAGTTGAAATGTAACCAATCACAGGCAAGTAGGCCTCTGACGTCATGCCAGACAGAGGAGCATCAATCCATGCTCCCAGCAGCCTCAGTTCTCCACACAGACTAGGAGTAGAAGGACCTCGGCTAGGCAGATATATACCTTGCTGTCTCAGTCAATAAATATATACAGAAGCGACTACTGTGTCTACCTTCTACCCGAACAAGGCAAACGAATAATTCTTAATTTTACTGGATTAAACCGAAATCTGATTTGTGGCCCCAACTGTGTTAAATAAAAACATTTTTTAGAAATTATTGAAGGAATAATTTATTATGTTTTGACTCGATTTATTTTGATTGTGAAATAAATATGTTAAGTAACTTGTTTTATTGTGTATTAAATACTAGGCAATCTTTTCATAAGATTATCGTCATAACATAATAGATTTTCTTCTATTCACTCGATAAATGTACCTATAGATACTCTTTATATCTATCTTTTATACTGTATATTTTTCATTTATATTATCTAACTTTTATCCTCTATATTCTTAAGTTATATTATCTGTTCTCTATTATCCCAGTAAACTGGGAAGTTATATTCAATCAACTACAATCTAAATTAGATTGATCAATTTAATTATAATATAAATGATAAATAAACTTAATTTAATAAACTTAAACATTTAAGACTATTCCAACTTTTCCTATCTCTAGTATACTGTTATAATTTAATTGATTTCACTCTAACGTCACGTACTTAGCAAGTACGCATTACAAAGTTAGAATTAAGTTCAGTGCACATGATGGATGTTCTTACAGAGCCCTGGTTATCTAACTAAATTATCTTAGTTATTTGTAATGAAAATTCACAAAACTTTTGGCCATATTCTCCACCACATTATCCACTATATTCTCCATGGTGTTTAAGGAAAAGACCTTGGTAAATAGTAGTTTTGGAATAGAGTTGTTGATTTATATAACAAATCAATGGCCAATGTAATAGAACTGAGCCCATTGGATTGTTTAAGGTGTATTTTAGATATGTTGATTAACATAAACGTTTGGATTGGTACAAAAAGAAGCAGTCAGACATCGGCCAATAATTTATGGCAGGTTGACTGTAGATATGAGCAAGGGAATCCCAATACTGTATCAACAATATTTGATAATGTTTCAACCTCCAGCTATTTCAGATGACAGACGGTAAATCCAGGTGATAATTCGTTGGCACAACGCGAGCTGGTCATATCACCTTGCCACGACCATCAATAGCTCTAGTGTAAATTACGACCTTCACTCATCTGTCTCTTTTGATGTACAATTAAACCCCACACTTCTCAACACACTGATGTCATGTTGGCATGTTTCCCCAACACCCTCACTTCTCGTTTTCTGTTCCGCGCGGCGAGTAGACACCCTCCTCACATTGCCTCATGCGATGGAGTTATCCCACACTTCACCTCTTCTTCCACACTATCGTGAAAACACCAACTAGTTTGTTATCGCTACTGAGCTATTAACACTTGATTGTTCCTTAAGATGTTCACTGCTATATTGACACTCACTTCTCTTTCAGACTCATAATCAACCTGTCCTCTTACAAATTACGTCTGAATATGGCCGTTTGACCGTAGGCCGAAAATGGACGTAATTTGATAATTTAAAAGATTGCAAATAAATTTTGGATTTTTTTCCAAAACAGTAAGTTAAGGGTCCTCCGGTAGGTTAGGAGGGCAGGGGCAGGAAGTTCTCCTAAGATTTCAGCTTTTTGTAATATAATTTATGTTTATGTTCTTTTAGCAATTTACAGCAAGCGTACTTTTGAACTATGTCCATATTTTAAAGTGTTTCATTAATTTTCTGGCTAATTATGCAACTTTTATGCAATTAATGCAAATTATTCAATTAATTATGAATTTTTTTAGTTATGCAATCTTTCATTATGCAATTTTCAATATGCTTTTTAGATGTATTAAAAATGTCAAAAACAAATTTATTATGTTTTCTCTGTATAAAATCTGCAATGCATGTTGAAGGGTTTTGTACTACAGCTGTTGTTTATTATCTCGTTCATTCCAGACATGATTGCCTAAAATTTAGATCACGGGTGAGAGAGAGACATTCACAATTATTCATATTTAAATCATATGAAATGAATCGGTTCAATATCTACAAACGGAAATCATTCCTTAAGAGACCAGGAGGCATGGCAACTAAGTAAAAATATCCCCATTGCATGATCAAGGCGCATTGGGTATGCCGAGAGACATTTCTCTCAATATAAAAGTCTGGAGATGTATTCAAACCTTCCTCAATACATAACGGGCATAACACAATGCGTGTTACTGGCTTTGCAAGAATGTAAAAATTCCAATCATATGTAACCTCACAATCTCAATGCACATTATCTATATAAATAAAAATGGAAATATTCGTTTGTTCAAAATCGCTAATCTCTGAAAGTTCTTCACCGATTGCTTTGAAATTTTCACACAATGTTCCATTCACATCAGAGCGGGGTTTTATATACATATTATATTGATGTCACGTCTGTGACGGAAAGTAAGTAAGTAATTATCAAAAGAAGGCACCAAACCGGGAAGGCTATGTAGCACCATCAAATGTGCAAAATAATCAGAGGGCGCTAAATATCACCAAGGATGTCAATACGAGAACAAAAACGCATAAGGCGAACGATTTCAAAAGTATCCGAGTCACCAAGAATTCTATTGAGGGACAGGTGACCGCGAGGGGCGGTCGGAAAGCAAGACACACGCTCGTCCTGGAAGTCAGGACATTCAAGAAGGACACGCACGACCGTAAGAGGGACAATGCAACTAGGATAATATGGAGCAGGGCGGCGCTCCATCAAGTGACCATGGGTTAAGCGTGTATGGCCAATACGCAATCTCGCCAGAGCTGTTTCCCATCGCCGGTTACGCTGGAAGGTGGACGGCCACGAGGAAACACAACATTTAAGAGTACGTAGCTTGTTAACAGTAAGAGACAACCAAGAAGCCTGCCAACAGGTAAGGACTGAGGAATGGATAACCGGGTAAAAGTCGGAATACGGAATGCCTTTACGAGAGATGGGACAAGAGCGGACAGGTTCCTTGGCGGCAGCATCCGCACGCTCATTTAAAGACACACCAATATGGCTGGGAACCCAACAAAACTCAACCGACTTAAATTTACTGTGAACAAGAAACAGCCAATGGTGGATCTCGACAACTACTGGATGAACCGGATTAAAGGACCCGAGAGCCATGAGGGCACTACGAGAGTCAACAACAACTACAAAGGAGGACTGACAACGAGAAAGCAGGAGACGAAGAGCATAGAGAATAGCATAAAGTTCCGCTGTAAAGATGCTAGTCTCCGGAGGTAAGCGACACATATAAGTGCGATCAGGAAAAACAACAGAGTAGCCAACACCGTCCGCCGACTTAGACCCATCGGTGAAGACAGAAACGG